TTATGATTAGAAAGGAAAGCTCCTTAATACTGGTATATTTTAAGTTATAGCCTGATGATTATGATTAGAATGGAAAGCTCCTTAATACTGGTATATTTTAAGTTATAGCCTGATGATTATGATTAGAAAGGAAAGCTCCTTAATACTGGTATATTTTAAGTTATAGCCTTCTGATTATGATTAGAATGGAAAGCTCCTTAATACTGGTATATTTTAAGTTATAGCCTGATAATTATGATTAGAAAGGAAAGCTTCTTAATACTAGTATATTTTAAGTTATAGCCTGATGATTATGATTAGAAAGGAAAGCTCCTTAATACTAGTATATTTTAAGTTATAGCCTGATGATTATGATTAGAAAGGAAAGCTCCTTAATACTGGTATATTTCAAGTTATAGCCTGATAATTATAATTTGAAAGGAAAGCTCCTTAATACTGGTATATTTTAAGTTATAGCCTGATGATTATGATTAGAATGGAAAGCTCCTTAATACTGGTATATTTTAAGTTATAGCCTGATGGTTATGATTAGAAAGGAAAGCTCCTTAATACTAGTATATTTTAAGTTATAGCCTGATGATTATGATTAGCATTGGAAGCTTCTTAATACTAGTATATTTTAAGTTATAGCCTGATGATTATGATTAGCATTGGAAGTTTCTTAATACTGGTATATTATTCCTTACCTTATGCCTGAAAAAAAAGTGATAAGTTGATCTAATGACTAGAAAAAATTAAATAGGACGGTAACATTTCTGACCATCAGTTGATAATTTTGTAAGTGTATAACTTATTTAACTAACATTTTCCAGACAACACTATAATAAAATAACCAGTGTTGCCATAGTAAGAATATGAATCTTGTGATTGGTTGGTAATGTACACATTTTACCTTCAAGAAGTAGGAACCAATTTTGACTACTACATTTACATCACAGTAGGTTTTACTGATTTAAAAGTGAAATTTGAACTACCTACCTACTTTTCAATCTTTCTTCACAAGAATAGCTGGAGGAATCAATTACTTTAAACAGGGAAATCACAATTAAAAAAAAATATAGAGAGAAATCTGATTGCACATGAATTTATGTGCATCCCAGTTGTTGCTTCTGGAGATGGGTAACATTTTATATGGATATTAATGTTCTTTAACAAATAGATGGTTAATATAATACTATAACTTGGCATGGATAAATCTCCAAATAATAAACTTCCTATATAAATAAAGGATCTCTAAAAGTTTGTACTGAGTTCTACATGTCATTACATTATTTAAAGCTGAGTTATGGACAGTAGAGCTGGGTGATCAGTGGTACTTGCTAATAAATCAATTGACAGCCTCAATAATCAAATAGTACAGTGTTTCTCAAACCATGGTACATGCAAGGGGAAAAAAAGGTGCCAGCAAGTGCTACCTTCCAGTTGCTTTCCCTCTAGTCAGCAGTTAAAAATTAGTGACACTAGAAGGTAGCATTAGTAGCTTTGCCTTAAAGTAAGAAAACGACAGAGCAAGTAAGTTTGGTGGGAATAATTAAAAATAGTAATAGTCTGAAACCCTAATTTCAATTAGTGGATTATTTGTATGACAACTGATTTAAATTTTGATTAATCAGTTTACATGACACTAATCACCGTATTCGTGTAACTCTGAATTGGACAATAAAATCCTAAGTAGTCTTAGAAAAGAAAGTTCCTCGCAGTAAAAAGATGAAGACTGAAAACTTGATTTGTGTGTGTGTGTGTGCATGAGTAAAATCTGCTTTATTGAGTTTCAGCATTGAATGTAATGAAAAATGAGAACCAGCATCTGCTAACTGTTTAATAAAATGTAACATGCAGCACTGAAACAAAACACAGAAAACATTATGTGCTATAATCCACCATGAACTTTATTATTTGTCATATTTGTTTTATTCTAATAAAGGCACAATTTCTCATATCTTAATTATGAAGTATGACAGTTTTTAAAACATATGCACAATTTCCTGTTATATACAAAATATATATATATAGTAGCAATAACTTTTAGTACTAAGAGACCATTTACATCAAATTTTTGACTCGGAAATATTCAACATAGGTGATCTGAACAGATTACTTATTTACTTTTATATAATGCATGTTCAAATATCACACATTCTTAGAGCCTTGCTCTCTGGAGAACCATATAAATGCACAGTATAGTTTACAAACAGCTTACAAATATACAGAACACCTCAGCATAATATAACACAAAGAGCATTGTACATGCTATAAATAGAAATAAATCTCGCATGTACATATTATGGAGAATAGAAGATACACAGATCAACAGCTTGACAGAATATTTCAGGCACGTTCACAAGTGAAAATGGTTTCATGTACTAATGGGTTATAATATTTAAAAATAATAATCTGTAAGATACAGTATTGATCATAATAAGCAAAAAAGTCAATGTTATAGATGTATTTAGTTCACAAAGTACAAGAATTTGGAAGTTTGAAAGACTATTTCAGTTCCCACTGTAACAAGTGATAGAAAGCCCAGGTTCTGAGAGCAGTGTGTCTACAGTGCAGATTATTTTCATAAACATACAGGACTGTCCATTGATTCATTTACAAAATACCTTTACCTTAGTTCTAAGCTCTGGAGGTAAACTAAGTCACACAATAAACAGTCACTGTCATCTCTGAAATCAAAAACAGTAGCAGTAGTCTCCTAAAAGTTGGTAGGTTACAAACAATGAATATTCCTCAAAATTTCAAACACATACAAAACAATTGCCTTTCAAATCAAACTTGTATATAACAAAACATTAACTTCTTAGGAAATATTCCCCACAACGGTACTTTCCTTCACCAAGTTCTGGTTGTATATTTCTCTATCCTGGTCGATGTCATAAACGAATTTTTTTTCCAATAAAAATGGATACATAAAAGGGAAAAGCACTAGAACTGCACCCAACTTCTCTGGCCATGATTACCGTTATCTGGTTGACTTGTAGTGCTACAAAAAAAAAGTGATATACCTTTCCATTCATCATTATCAAACATTATATAAAAAATTTATGTTTTTGTTGAATGTCATTAATAAAGCTGCTGATTTTGTCAGTTGCCAACTTACTATAGGAGGTGAACTGCTAGCTTTAGTATGTCTGCATGAAGTTAGTAGAAAAGTTAGATTTACTATGTGACTACATGTGGTTAATGTAGCCCTTGTTTTACTGTGTGACTACATGTGGTTAATGTAGCCCTTGTTTTACTGTGTGACTACATATAGTTAATGTAGCCCTTGTTTTACTGTGTGACTACATGTAGTTAATAAAAAAAACCTTGTTTTACTGTGCGACTACATGTGTATAATTATACCATTGTTTTACTGTATGACTACATATAGTTAATGAAGCACTTGTTTTACTGTGTGACTACATGTAGTTAATAAAAAACCCTTGTTTTACTGTGTGACTACATATGGATAATTATACCATTGTTTTATTTGTGACTACATATGGTTAATGAAGCCCTTGTTTTACTGTGTGACTACATGTGGTTAATGAAGCCCTTGTTTTACTGTGTGACTACATGTGGTTAATGAAGCACTTGTTTTACTGTGTGACTACATGTGGTTAATGAAGCACTTACTTTACTTTATGACTACATGTAGTTAATAAAAAACCCTTGTTTTACTGTGTGACTAAATGTGATAAATGAGGTTACTGATTTTTTTGGTGTATCTGCATGGAGTAAATATAAAAGTTAGATTTACCCCATGAAAACTATACATATTGAGTACAGAAAATTCAACTCTGGGCTATAATATTAATTACCATTGTCACCCTAAGAGAGTTTTTTTTATACATTAAATATCTTAATACTGCTTTTTATTATAAACTTCAAACTATTATAATTGAAATTATGTTTGAAACAAAAATGTACCGTCTAAAAACACAATAAAACCTACTATCGTCTTGCCTCTATAATTTTAACAAAACAGTTTTACAAGCCTCTTAAATTACCCGGTTTCTGTTTCAAGAAAACAATAGGCTTAGCAATGACAACACAATCTTTAAAACAGACGCCTTTTGTGTTTCTAAGTCTGGCCATTTTAAGATATGATTTCATACTACTACTACTGATCAAAACATTACTCACCCTTGGGCACTAGCAAAATCCCCCCAGAGTTCCATGGGTGGTTCTGTGGAAAGTTCTGAATTTGCTGTAGGAGTTGTTTCACCTAAGCCTGCCAGAGAGGAATTGCTAGCACTATTGCTATTGGTCTGGGTAGGATGAGATGCTGTGCTAAAGACAGACTCTGTTGGACTTAAAATCTTTACACCTCCTGGAGGAGGGGGAAGTAAACCTAGAGTTTTTCCTGAACTAGATGGGGTTTTGGCTTTTGGTCGAGATGTGCCAGGTACTTTCTAAGACACATATTAAAAGAAAACATTAAAATGTTGTTATAGTGTATGTGTATATGCACATGATTAAAAATAAATGTACATAATATTTTTAAAATATTTGATATCCAACAGACTTCATTCTCAACTTTAATAAGTTGTAAAAATATAGAGTTAAGGGGTGTTGCAAATAAATCACTTTTTAATTCGGAAGTAATGATAAACTTGGTAGGGCCGCGAATATCATCACCCTTGAGAAAACATCATTTCAAC